GATGAAATGTAGTCCATTTCCATTGATAAATCACCATAGTAGGTCGGTGGAGGATTGTAGTCAAATAAATGGAAACTTTAGATAGAAGTTAGACCCCTATGTCAGGCAAAAGACCACATAACATCCATGCATGAAGCTGGAGTCAAGTGTCCGGGAGTTGAATGTTGGACCGAGGTTGTCTCAACAAGGATGAGCAAAGAGGTAGTGGTGAACATTCCTGGAGCAACCAAAGAAGAAGAAACTGTGTCTGAGCAGGCCAAAAGAGTATTGTGAAGAGAACCCGACAAGGGGTCGAACGAATCATAGACAAGATTCTGGGTAAGAGACGAATAGGAGGAAAGGCATATATATGTGTATAATCCAATCCAACCCTGATGGAAAGCATCTATCACCAGAACTCATGGATGTGGAACTGGAGACCACAACTGTAAGCGAGCATTCCAATGGGTTGCAAAGGCATTGATCATTTGAGATCCTAACTGAGAAAAAATCTATTGAAAGACCTCCTGATGTAACATCCATTCTGTTGGAAGAAGCTGATGGGGTCGAGAAAAATGATCTGCTATCAAAATCATAACCCCTGGCACATGACAGGGTAAAAAATGGATGTCATGGGAATGAGCTGTAAAAAAAAACCCAAAGCCCGAAAACCATGTTCTCGAGAATAAGTACCTCCCATACAAGAAAGATATGAAACCGCCATAGAGTTGTCCAAATGGATCATGAAAATATTGCTGTGCAAGAGAGAAAGACCTGGAATCATTGCTTGATGTACTGCAAAAAGTTCTAGAATGTTGATATGCAGGGTAGATTTGTAGTCAGTCCAAAACCCTGGAATTCCTGCCCCAGAAGAAAAGCATCCCATCTGTGCATAGATGGATTGTTGGATGAGGAGGTGATATCTGGACCCCAATAATCGTGTTGTTCCAGTCAAGCCACCACTTGAGATCTGCAAAGTGTTTTCTCGAGCAAAGAGACTGTTTGGTCCAAAGGATTGGTATGCATGAGCCACTGGTTGCAAAGTGACCACTGAAGAGATCACATATGGGCCTGACCCAATGGCATGAGGAATTCTAGGGAAGCCCAAATCTCCAAAACAGACAGAACCATCAAAGCAGTGGGAGAAGGTGATGTAAGCAAATGCCTGGTAATCCCTTCCATAGTGTGAAGTCTGAGGGGAGATGGTTGAGCTCGACTCAAATATGTTCAAAAACACCCCGAGATGAACCATGTTTTGAGTTGGTGATAGAATGGATTTTTCTAACCTGGTAATGAAGCCCGCCCTTCTGGCTTCGGGAATGAGAAACTGTGGATGTAGTTCATTAATGTGATGGGGTGGCACCAAAAGAAGTCAATCTTCCAAATAGTGATGTGTGCACAGACTCAGAAAATGGAGATGCTACTCAAAGGCCCGTACTACTTAGCAGAAAACATATGGTGCTGAATCAAGTACAAATGGGAGAGCACAAAACTGCAACACCTGGTCCTCGTGCACAAAACATGGAAATCAACGAGAAGACTCTGCTAGAGGGATGTGAAGGTAGGCATCTGTAACATCGAACTTGGGCATCCGAAGACCTGGTGTGAAGTTGAAGAAAAGATTCCATGGTGAAATGAGGAGGTTGTAGGAAGAGATTGAGATGAGACAGATCGATGATAGGATGCTAATATCCAGAGTAGACCCCCCACCCCACCCCAAGCCACCCACCGACTACCACCAGACAACAAAAGAGGAATGGACGAGGTCTGGTTAGCCTCCATGCCAAAAACCATTATACAGAACTTTATAATCACAATTTTCTTTTGAACCACAGAAGAAAAACAATGAAGTATCAGCAACGGGAAAAAACAAACAAAAAGAACACCAGACTACTTTCTAAATTTTACAGAAGAAAATGTGACTCCTAGCACTAGCACTTTGTCAAGAAAAAGTGATTATTTTGTTTGCATACAGTGCTTATATACAACACATGGGAGAAGGTGAAGAGGAAGGTACATGTACAGAAAAAAGATGAGACCAGTCCTTCCTGAGGGTAGCTACAGCCAAAGCAGTTGGGGTGAGGTACCAGGGACCAAAAGAGGGAAAGTTTGATATTGAGAGGAGTGGCAAATGCAATGATCATTGGTGTGCTCAACTGGGAACAGATCCAATGAAAGACCTCAGAATGGAGTGACCACTCTGTAACAAGAATCCTGTCCAGTAGAGAGAGTCAATCTGTTATCTAGATCAAAGCCTCTGGGACATGACAGGCTGGCAAATGACCCTGGCTCATAACCAATTGACCCACAAGGTAAAAGAGTATATAGGAAAACAATAATGGGCTGCCAAGAGCTTCAGAACATTGATATGTAAATTATACTCCACAGAAGACAAAACCCCAGAGGCTGTGTAATAGTCCAGAGATGTGCCTCAACCAGTAGGAGATGTGTTGATATAGAGATGGAGGGGTGGCAAAGGGTATCCATAGTATTGGCACAATCCAGCCACCAAGACAAGTTCTTGATAAGAGAAAGTGGCAGTATCAGAAAAGAGAGAGGATTGCAAGAGATGTTCCCTTGGTTGCTTAAAACTCATTGAAAAAGCCTGGCTTAAAGGGAAAAGATGGTCTACATATGCGAGAATCCCACAAAAAATGTAACCTCTCACACAGGAGGTACAGGAGAAATAAGTGCAAAGTGACTAGATGCTCCATAACTTGCAGACAAATGGGAGAAGACTAAGTCAAGAATTGAAAAAAAGGCTCCAAGGTGGAACAACTTGTAAAACTTTACCAGCCAACCCAGACAAGCTGCTTCTTGGAGGAGAAAAAAAAAGTTGGGGGATGAGGAAATCAGAATATGAAGAAAGGTATCTCAGCTGTTGATCTTGGTCATCTATAATCTGGGGGAAAAGAATCAACAGAGGAAGAAGCCCCTCCATCTTGAAATGAGGAATCATCAAACAGTGGACAACAAAAAGATGAAAATAAAACCTTGGAAATGGGCAAATGACCCTATTGATCTCTTTCATGATCTGATACCACTATATCAAGATGCAGAAGACATTGAGTATCAGAGGTAGAAGGAAAAGGAACAGGACAGAACCCTCTTGATTGCATTCATGTTGAAAAGATCTAATACCACAACATCAAGATGCAGAAGACACTGAGTATCAGAGGTAGGAGGAAAAGGAACAGAAAAAGTGGATAGACACAGAAGTGAAGAGAAAGGCTATGTATTAGAAACTGAATGACTGACTAGTTGGCCTCTAAAGGAATAAAGAGGTCTGCAAACATAAACAAAAGTGCTGTGGGACTTGAGCTGACTGGTACAAAGGGAGGGTGTTACTGACAAGGCATGTGATGTTCCATTCAACAGAAAGAGAATTGCAAGAAGAGGTAGAGGAATGGGAAATGTGGAAAAGTAAGAAGTGGAGAGTTCATGGGATCAAAGAACAGGATTGGACTCATGAGGATATGAGAGACAAAATATCAAGGAGGAAAGGGAAAAATGGTATCAGACAGCCTCAACCCAAGTCTCCAAAGTGTTAGGAACACCCCTGAATACTTCAAGATGAAGAAAATAAATCAGATGGAGGTCACAGAGATAAGAATGGAGAAGACAATGGTAGAGAGAAGAGCATCACATTCCAGAAGGTCTCATAGAAGAATCATGTAAGCAGGGACAAGGTAGAAGGCAAAACTCTGTCTAAGGTACTGCACATTGAAGGCCATTGAGATCACAACATAGGGCTTCAGATGGTAAATGAAGAGAGAGGACAGGTAACAATGGAGATGGGTAAGAAAAATGGTAAAGGCAAGAAAATTGAACACATGAGAGTGTTACTGGAGACAGGAGGTCAGTACCCTAAGTGGAAAAAGGGGAATGGCAATAAGCCCTTGTGAAGGAATCCTGGAGTCAAGGAGAATGAGATATTTGAGAGTGGGAATGAAGCTGATTCAGAAACATGTCAACATGGACACTTACGTCTGGAGAAAAATGGAAAACCAAATAATCTTCAGTGTGAGAATCATGCAGTAAGAAGTTAGAAGAATCGAAAGACATATGAGAAAGGGAAAGTAAAGAATAAACCTGAGTAATCAAATCTACAAAAAGATTTGGAGAACATTTTTCCTCTACAGATAAAAAGGAACCCAATGTAAACCTTGGATGTGGAAATAGCCAATGAAAGTTGTCATCCTTGTGGTCAGTTTCAGAAAGAGAAGAATGCACTTCTGATGTAGGGAGAAAGAGATAAGGCAAAAAAGGCAGCAAAGAACCCACAACAAGATGAACTACGACAGTAATGTCTTCAGCAGTCAATGAGCCTCTAGTTGACACAGACATTGTAGGGGCAGTGTCAGCAACATTGCCAGAACCTTGGTAGGAGGTACTAGTCACTGTCACTTGAGAATTTCTTCAGATCAAGAATCTTTCTTAGTTATTTAGTGTCAATGTAGCTTTAAAGCAAAGAATATTAACACTGTGAAAAGGCAAAACAAATCTCACAAAATTGAATAAGTTTAAACTTTTGTTGCTTAATGTTTTTATCATAAACTAGTGTAGTTCATGTCAAAACACATGCTTTAGGTGGGAGATAGTTCAAGGCTAGTGGAATGTACAAAATCTCAAAGGCATGTGTGAGAGGAATAGCTATTTTGTATGGAGAAGTAGGTGATTTGTTTCAGAACATGAGAGTAGTTTTTGACCACATTTTATTCTGGTTGGAAAAGACAAAACTTGTTTGTGCTTGTGAAATCTCACCTTCTTTTCTGCATCTTCTGTGACCTGCTCATTGCACATTTTCATATAAACAGGCAAAACATTTTAATTTATTTTCTAAGTAAATCTTATTTCCATTTTCCTTCATTTAATGATCTGCAGTTCTTTCTGTTTAGTTTTTTTTTTACTGTTTATTTCTCCTTTAACTTATCACACCACAATGGTCCTCTACTCAGTTTTCTTAGACTTGGTCATAATAGTATCTTATAATGTTTTAACATGAAGTTTGTAAAAACCTATGAATGCTCACCTCAAGTCATTCTGGACCAGTTTCCTGCGTAGGATTTGATTTTCTTCACGAAGTGTGGCATTATCACTAAGGGTACAAAAGAACTTTCAATGCTTTCAAAATTTAAACTAAAATAAATTTTGAAAGTTATACAATAATGTTTTTATGGTATGCAAATAAATCTTAATATATCTCACTTTCTTACAGTTTATATTTTATGCTTAGAAATAATTTACATATTTACTAACATTCTAATATGGAATATCCTCAATCCAGTCGAAAAAAATGTATTAACTCAGCTTTATGCATTTCTTTTTTGTAGCAGAATATTGTACTGTTTCCTACTTTACCTTGTACATGTGGGACTCCTGTACATTTGTCACAGGAATCAAATATATCTCTGGTTATATATGATCCCATTTTCTGATTGTCCAACTAAAGAGAGAAGGTGAATGATAAATGCAGTTTTGAAGGAGAATAGATTTGTCTTTGAAGTCTTATTCATGTTTCTGGCATTTTTAACTATTGCTTCTGCTGATTTTGTGTTTCTTCAAGTGATTTGATTACAATACTCCTAAGTTTATTTGCAAGTACAGCTTGTATTCTAATTTAGCCCCCCCAGAGACTGGGCAGCAACTCTGAAGGCTTATAATGCTAAAATACAGGCTTTGATACTGGTGGTGGGCACAGTAAATACAGACAGTCTGTTGTGCATCCCTGTGCTTAACTTCAAACAATAAATACTTTAATAAATCTTTATTTATTTATTTAAAATATTCAGTCTAGACACAAAAAATTCAATGTTCTATAACTATTATAATTTAACTGGCTTTCTAATTAAACAATAAGTGGTTTACGATAACTTCTTTGGCTGATCATGGCAACCTGGAAACAGCAAAGAATGAAACTGTGGGCCAAATAACTTAAAGCCTGTTGTTAAAACAAGCTAGCCTTATAAGGAATTCAGTCAATTAAAATAATATTTTCCTATTGGTTATAAATAATTCAAAAGCATGTGTCAGAGAGAATTATTGACATTTGTTTAAAGATGTGATGTGATATGAAGACATGGCATGTGGGTTTGACTTTCTGGCTTATAACTCAATAAATCAAGAATATTGGAGGCTATTACCTTATAGTATGTCTTAGCAATATCTATATTATAAATGTGATATTTGTATTAAACTCAGAAGCTCAAAAGAGGGTGGAAAATACATCTAAATGAGTAACTTGAAATGAAGAAGTGCCATGTGATACTGGGAAGTGCAGAATGAGAATTTATCTAGATATTTCCTTTTGAAAATAAATTAAAACTTGGATAATATAAACATTTGAATTACAAACTATGCTTTAATGCCAAATTTATTTACATAAATTGATAATAAGTAGTTTAATGAAATGCTGAATGTAACTTTGTAAAAAGGTTATGACATGCACTCTTTGACCTACCCTTATTCAGATGGTTAAAAAGATATATATTCTCTGACATTTAAAGGTTCAGTTAATGAGAACCTGGACCATTTCCTTAAGTGTTTTGATCAGGAAACTGCTAGGAAGGGCTAGACTTAGGAACAGGTTGTGCAACACTCAATCTTGAAGTTGAATTGTCCAACCCTTGAGAAAGAAGCAACTCTGGGATTGGGTCACTATTATTACCATGTTGCTCCAACATTTAATCCTGGTGGACAACCAGGTGAAAGATGTGTTTCAATTATAGCTTCACCCCTTATATTGACTAACTGCATCATTTGCATGGAAAGACATACCCTTCAATGGCCTCAGCAGATCAGGAAGATATCCTTGCAGACAAGTTCATTGAGGGACTAACTGGTGAGGCAATGAGGCATCATGTGGGTATAACAGACATTCTCACTAAAACATAGGCAGTTTTAGCAGCAAAGAGATTTGAGATCTTGACTTTGAATAAGTCACAAGAGAGGAAGAAGGCCACAACAGCAACTACAATAGCTATATCTCAGACAGACCATCTTCCTGAAGTGACTACATCATGACGAAGTCGAGCTCTTCCAAAGGTAATCCAGCAGCCAATATACCTCAGCACTGCAAAATAACACCACTGGTTCCCAGTGAGTGGGCAAAGCTTCCAGGGCTCTCCATGATGTTTGTGCCACAGCCAATGATGAAGATACTTCTGCCCATATGTTGCTCCCAAAGGGAGAACCAAAGCATCTGCTCTGGGTGAAGGCAATTACATTAATTCCAAGTGAACCACCTGTACCTTGCTATACACCATGGTAAGCAAGGTTACCACTTTCAACTAATGGCACAGTTGGGGCAGGAGGGTCAGCATGAGCTGTACTTGTTGCTATTTTAGCTCTTCAAAAGTAATAAAGCCAAAGTCAAGAGTGGTCACTAACTTGGGGAGTGCATTGGGCAGTTTGTTCCAAAAGTTATGATAGCAGCCCAGCTCTTCCAGGGCTGAATACTGCTTGGTATGTGCCTATAAAAATACAGAGGCAAGAGATATAGTTCCTGCTTCATACAAGAGCCACCAGTAAACTGGTTGACCTAGCTGTGTATAAGGCACTCAGGGCAATGGACGAACTGGGAAAGTCATCTGATGCTGGCCCAACCAGATCTGAGAACAGTGTACTGTATGAGTGTATGTTGCAGAGGAAGTCAGAGTACCTGCATGTACATAAGTTGTGTTCATTGGTTTACAATTTTGTGGCTGTGTTACAAAGTGATAGAGCCATTGTATGAAATGCTCTATTTCCTGTACAGAAATCAGGTAGCAGCCAGGAGAATAGTGATCTCAGCTTCCAATTGGAATAATCATTGTCATGGTGAATGAAATGGAGGTAATAGAAACTTGTTGTATCACTAGTATTGTTTTTGTTGCACTGCATCCGAGAAGAAGTAGATGATAACAGACATATCTGAGGTTGCTAGTTAAAATATGTGCAAAAAATCTGGATTAAACACAATGGCAGACGCTGAGCACCTTATTTGTTGAATATACCAATATACTTGTGAGAAATGGTCAGAGAAATGTAACTTGCTATTGCTTAAATGCAGGTGATGCATTTTTATGTTATATCTGTATAAATTATATACTTTACCTCTCCATCAATATATGTAGCACCATCCGTTGGATTGAAAAGATATTTAAGTACATGCATGATATGTTTACCATTTATATTATACCTGTATATATGGATTTTCATTGGAATATCAAAAGCAGATACCCACGGACCAGTCAAGTAAGCTGGAGAAATCTTGTAGCGATAGTCCAAATTGTCTAATCACTAACCCACTGATGTGATCAGGTAGGTAGGTATTAGATGAAAAATTTGCTGTTTTAGAAATTTTTTAATTGTCGTACCAGAAATGTTAGCAATATTTTTAGCATATTATTAGTATATATATGCACATAATATATCGTAACCAATACTTTGAATGGTCGGTTTTTTGCTAAGGAATTTGATAGGGTGGTTTTTTGGCACGTGCATTATTTGGAATCCTTGTCAATCCCTACTATTAAGGACTACCATATTTAAAATTATTCTTCATTGTCATTGGGCTTCATACACAAGTGTACATTACAGACATTACCTTTAATTTCATAACTTTTGGATTGTCAATTTTGAGAACCATATGTGTACAGAACATTGCCCTTTATATCATCAGTGGATCACTCTCCAACTGTGCTTGCATAAATACACACATATATATAATGTATTTATACAAAAAAAGGGAACTGCAGAATGAGTGAATAATATTCGATTATGATTCTAAAGGATTGATTTTGTGTTGGCCTGTGGCCAGGCATAGCCAGGTGGTTTGGGTGCTCGACTCGCAATCTGCGAGTCGAGGGTTCGATTCTCCCTGTCACACCAAACATGCTTGCCCTTTCAGCCATGGGGGCATTATAATGTGACGGTCAATCCCACTACTCGTTGGTAAAAGAGTAGCCCAAGAGTTGGCGGTGGGTGGTGATGACTAGCTGCCTTCCCTCTAGTCTTACACTGATAAATTAGGGAGACGGCTAGCACAGATAGCCCTCGTGTAGCTTGGCAAGAAATTAAAAAAAAAAATTCTGTTGCCTATTTGTATATTAAGTATATACACTTATGCATTTTGTCATATTCTTTTATTTTTTCTAAGGGTTTCATATTCTATTTGTGATTATGCTGTTTAACTTATTTACTATTATTTTGTATTATTATAGTTATTATTTTCATTATTAATTTTAAGTTAAGGATTCCTTTTGGACTCTTTACTTTTGCTATGGTTTGCCCTGGTTTATTAATGTCAAAGGACTTGTTTTTTTATTCTGTGTTTTAATATGCTTTCTCTTTATGTCAAGGAATTATATCTTTTGAGTTTAGTATGTTTTTGCCTCTTACTTATTTAATGATAAAAGGTTTATTTTGTATTCAATATCAGTAGGGTTTGATTGTACATTTTATATTGTGAAACACCTTCAATTAACAAAGGATTTCTTTTCTTTTTTGGCATACTATTAAAAGTTATATTTTTACTTTGTTTCATAATTTTCACTTAAAGTGTGTGTTTGATTTTGTTCTGTAATGTATTTTATGATGGTTTGTATCTTGTACTTTTGGGCATATTGAAGGGTTAATTTCACTTTGTACTTCTATTTCTTACTTTTAAATTTTGAATTTAAAGAGTTATGTTATATTCAATTTTAATTTTATGGGATAATTATATTTTGAGTTTTAACTTGTTATATTTTGATTTTTAAAGTTATGTTTTTTGCCTTCCTCATATGTGTGTCTATGAGTTATATAGGGGTGAGAATAAATTACACATTTTTCTTGACTGTTGCATTAATTTATTCAAAATGTTGGTTTTAAATTTTAAAGTTAAGAATGGCCAAGGGGGAAAAAAGTGTGGTATGCAGGCATACTGCAATTTTCGATACAGGTACTTACCTCTATTCACATAAATAGCTATTCTCTTTCAGTGCTGCCCTTTATGGGCAAAAATATTTTTCACGCATGCCATAAGCCTTCTGCCTCCCATCCATTGGAAATGAATCATTCCAATGTGTCTCTCATGTAAGTTATTATGCCACAACCCTCCACCAATGAGAGTGCCAC